TTACCTCCTTTTACCTTCCTGTCATAAAGGGAAAAAAACTGATTAAATTAAAAGCTCAGAAAACACACCAGAGCAGAAATCAGTTACCGGCCTACTGTGCTATGCAGGCCCTAAATCCAAGTAATGCTCTCCTTCCATACCATACTCCAACCCACACTGCTGTACCAAAGCCTGGTGCTAGTGGCATCTTCTTGGCTACTACCTGTAGTACAGAAATATCCAAGCCCTGGTCAAGCCTTACCCACAGAAATCAGGAAAGAAATCAACGTTATCCTGTTCCACATCACCACAATGAGTAAAAAGATACATTTCACCAAGCAGGTGAATTACCTAGTTGATTCCCTATTACCTTGTCAGTACTGACAAATCTTTGTCTAATGGCCTTCACTTAATGCAGTCCTCTACAAATGGAATTTTTCTTTCATCCCCTTGCCTAACTCCTAGTAGTTACAATTCTTTGAGACAGAATTACAAACAATTTGTATTTCAATTTAACGATTCTCTCTTGAAACACAAACTTCTTTGCTACAGTTCTTCACCTCATTGTGCCTGCTGCCAGGCTTGAGGGATTACAAAAATCAACAGCTGCCATCAAAAGATATAAATCATGTCTACCTGCTTTTCTACAGCTACAGATCCTTGGGAGAAGTATTCTCCAGGGAAGCACTCTGGTGTATGTCAGTGCCAAAAGGACCTATCCTGCTCTCTCCTCCTTTGTGCCAATAATTCTGTGTCCATGCAGATCCAAGGCTCCTAAGGAAAGGCTCAGATGGGTGAAGATACAACTCATTTGTTTTCAAGCAGTGGCAGAACCACATCCAGAGAATACAGTGACCTGTTTTTATTTATTGGTAAAAATGACATTTGTTCCTTTTCCACTAAGTATAGGTAATTGAATATGTACAATCCTGCATAAACCTGGCTGCAAAACCACTACAAATTAAAACCACCTCCAAAATGTGGGTTTGGCTTTTGGGATGTGGAGTGTGTTTTTTGTGGGGTGTTCAGGTTTTTAGACAGATCGTGTCCAAAAAGAGAATTACAAGTGGCTTCACCAGCAGTCATATCAGCATCTAGGAGATAGCAGGTAGCCAAGGTATTGGGTCAATTAGATCAGGGAAAACTACTTCCACCTCATAAAGCTGGAAATGACAGCAAATCCAGATGCAGTCTGCGCTATAACCATTTGCAGCAGAGAATGTTTGAAATGTGTCTCCATCTACCCAGCTATTCTGGTGTCCACTTTTCCTTCTGCAGAGTACAGCTGCAAAACATACCTTTGTTTTGAGATACAGCTGCCCAAAAGAACCCACAAACCACAAAAGTCTGCTGTGGGAAACAAAGAGTCCAGTTCAACTACCTTGCAAGGACATAAAGCTACTCAGGGCAAACAAAAATATCTCCCTAGTGCTGGAAAGTAACATTTTCCATGAAAGTAGAGCAAAACTCCCTTTTATGACTTGAGATTTTTTGAAGAGACTGGGGTTGTTCCCCTTTAACAGCACCTTGAAGCAGGTGTTTCATTACAGTTTGTTCTCTATTCTCACAAGGTCCAGCCTTGCAGGACAGAAAGCTTATGGCAAATCTACTTCAAAAGAATCCAGCTCTTACTCCTCACCTCCAAATATACTTCTCCCACATTAAAATCTATCAGAGATGCCAACTGCAAACACTCAGGGCTCCTGATAGTCAAAGCTCTGGTTAGTGACAGCCTAGTAATATTTACAGATATAAAGAAAAAGATGGGTAGAGAACAGTTTGGTAAAGTTTTACAAGAATAAAGCTGAACTAACAACTAATCATTGCCCAAAGGATTAGATCTTCCCATGTTATCCCTGCTCCTGCCAGTCACCTTGGAGTTCAACATGAGGACTCATCAGTCTCTGTCACAGTCAATTCCAGCAATCCAACAGAAAACTCTCCATGTTTTGGAGAGGAAGTTTTTCACTGTGTAACAGAACTAAAGTGCTCCATAGAAAAGGAACAACACTTCCTATTTCTCATCAGGGAAAAGGAGTGAAACCTCCTCCTTTTGGCAACAGTAACCACTGATGAGCTTAGCAACCAGGAGAGCTTTAGCTTAAGACTGCTTAAACAGTTTTAGGACTTCCCAAATTTAATTTTTTTTTCCGGAGGGATAGATGGGTGAACTGAAGATCTTAGAGCTGCAGAGATTTTCTGCCCTCTCACACTGACAAACACCCTCCCTGCCCGAGCTATTTCTGAGCTAATGAAGTCACAAATCAATACACAGCCAAGTTCCCTCTCTGAAAATCCTACCTTGTGAAACGCTTGAGGACCTACACTAAAATGTACTCTCCAGACACTGAAGTTGTTTTTCATTTGGAAAACACTGCATTTGTATTGTCAGCATCACAAGGTAAATCTTCATTTACTGAAAAAAATCCCCTCCTCTCCCTCAAAGCTACAAACATAATCTTTACTGATTTTCTACACATCCTGAGTCTGCAAATCACATCATAAAACATTTTAAACTGCTGATATTATAATGAGTTGAAGCAGCAATGCACTGGGGAGCTCTCATGCACATCAGCCTGTCCTTTCACTTCACTGCTTGCTTTGTCAACAAGAACCCAGTCAGTTCAAGGTTTAAAAGAGGAAGGCCTTTGCTACAGACAAAAGCTGCAAGCTGAGCTCACATAACCAAAGCTGGAGTGTTAATATCCTTTATTAACTAATTCCTTTAGAGGGAAAAAGCAAAAGCAAACTATCCTAATGAAAAGTGGCACAAACGGCGCACGTGGGTAAGGCTGAAAATCCAATAACAAATCCCAGCAAGTCAGACTTGGTAGGAGGGGAGTGCCCATGGAAGGTGACAAAGGAAGCAGGGAGCAGAGGAGTACCAGACTTGCACACCAGCCTGGTCACATTAAACAGCACAGCAGGGTTTGGGGTTTGTGCTCCCAAAAAAGAGACAACTACACCTGTTTCAGGGATGACTACAAAACAAAGATTCCTACAAAATTATGTAAGATGGCACAAACTGAACAGGTAAGGCTAAAAAAACAGGCACTGCTCTAAAGTTATAGCTGTTGATTTAATTAAGGGTGGCATGTGATTTTTACCCATTATGGCATTGCTATGACAGAATGGATGTTCAAAGATTATCAACAGGATTTTTTTTTTTTTTCCCTGCACTGCTTCCAACTATGGAGCTTAATATGTGGCATGTAAGCAGTGAAAAAGCAAAACCTAGACAGTCTAAACAGGAAATTCTGCAAATACTAATAAATGGAAAGGAAGTAAAAAACAAGAGCAGGAACTCTGTAGGATTCAAGACGTAATGGAAAAAAATCAGCAGCACAATAGGAGAAAGTGACATTGCCCACACATGACACCTGAACAGAGGCCTAGATGACCTGGCATCTTTTGGGATTGATTCCTTTTTGCTCTGAAACAACTGACAGAGATCAAGAGCTGGCAGCTCAGGCCCTATTCTTTATGCTGACTGGTCTCACTGCCAAATAGACAGATAAAAGATACCATTCATTCATCACACCTGCAACACCAAACCCAGATCATACACTTTATACACCAGTTACCTCTGCCATTCATATCACCTGTCCTGCCCAATCTGCCATGCCATACTCTCAACATCTCCGAATCAGTCTCCCAGCTGCTCCTTGAACCTGGCCTTACTGTCTCTTATCCCATTCCTGATCCCCAAAGCAGCCACCTGCCCCATCCCAGCACCTAATACACAATGATACTCTCCACTCATCTCCTAATTGCACTTACTCTCAACCTGCTGTCACAGTGCCTGGTCCCAAACACACCATAAAATGCCACCATAGCCCTCCCCAGACCAGAGCACCCTCCCAACCCCACCTCTCTGCCTACCCTGCCTTTGTAACCTTCATTCATCCCTAACACTCCCAGTCCTCAGCCAAATCTTCTGCCCAACAAACTGGGGTAGGCTGAGGGGGGACCGCCTAAACAAATCTGTCTCCCATTCCCACACCCCTCACCCACCTTACCCAGCACACCACAGCCTCCAGTCAGCTTCCAAACCAGCCCTCCTCGCTCGCAATACCTCCACCCACCTCATCATCACCCTTCCCAAAACACTCTCCATTGTCACCTCCCCAGCTATAATCTCCCATCCATCCCCAAGCCAGTCCTCACTGCACCTCAGCCTCACACTCCACCTCCCCACCCACAACCCCTTCTTGTCCCCACTCGCCCCCCACCACACCCACCCCTCTGCAAACACCTGCGTCTCGCACCCCACAACCTGACACACTCCCTCCCTCGGGACAAGCTGCCGAGCCTCAACGGCTACGACTTACCCCCCCACACACACCGTTCACCCCACACCACCCAGCACGAACCGCCGTCCCTCGTGCCCATCCTCCCTCCCCGGTTACCTCTTGAGGTACCGGGCGTCCTCGCCCTGCATGGCGGCGGTGAGGGGCGGCGAGGGGCGGTGAGGGGCGGTGTGGGGCGGTGTGGGGCGGTGAGGGGCGCTGAGGGGCGGTGAGGGGCGCTGAGGGGCGCTGAGGGGCGGTGTGGGGCGCTGAGGGGCGGTGTGGGGCGCTGAGGGGCGCTGAGGGGCGGTGAGGGGCGGTGAGGGGCGGTGAGGGGCGCTGAGGGGCACTGAGGGGCGGTGTGGGGCGGTGAGGGGCGCTGAGGGGCGGTGAGGGGCACTGAGGGGCGGTGAGGGGCGGTGTGGGGCGCTGAGGGGCGCTGAGGGGCGGTGAGGGGCGGTGTGGGGCGCTGAGGGGCGGTGAGGGGCGGTGTGGGGCGCTGAGGGGCGCTGAGGGGCGCTGAGGGGCGGTGTGGGGCGGTGTGGGGCGGTGAGGGGCGGTGCGGGGCGGTGTGGGGCGCTGAGGGGCGGTGTGGGGCGGTGAGGGGCGCTGAGGGGCGCTGAGGGGCGGCCCGGGCAGGGCGCGGCCCCGCGCGCGCGGCGCTCGTTACCAGGGAGAGCGCGAGCCCCGCCCCGCCCCGCGCGCGCGCGCTCTGAGCACGCGCCGCCCGCTCGGCCGCGCACGCGCGCAGCCCTCACCGCCGCCTTTTCCTCCCCGGTAGCGCCCCCTGCAGGCGCGGGGGAGGCGCTGCCCCGCCGGCCCCTCACGGGAAGGGACGGGCCGCTCCCGTTCGCTTGCGATGGAACGAAGAAGCTGTGTTGTTTTTTTGGTTTTTGGTTGTTTGTTTTCTTTTTTTTTTTTTCCCCTAAATATGTACGCCAAAGTTTCTAAACTTGAGAAAGCGTTTCTGGGCGTCGGTGTGATCAGCTGCGATTCAGGCTGGTAGAGACTTGGCTGAGAGTGAAAAGTGACCTGACCTCACTACAGTAGAGGCAGGTGGGTTGGTTCCCCTTTTCTTCGTCTTCTGTAGTTGTTTAATGGTTATTGTGAGGAACTGCATTGACTTGTTTGTTCATCAAAAGTATGAAATTAGGATAAAAGGGGGGGAAGTCGGGACATGGAATTTGCAGGCTTGACTGGTAACCACAAACAAAGATTGTGAAAGATTTTGCAGGACTGGCTGGAACTGATAACCGCAGTGGAAACCCATTGTTGCTGGAACTGATAACCGCAGTGGAAGGAGACTCACCATCCCCACTTGTGAAACCCATTGTTGCTGGAACTGATAACCACGGTGGAAGGAGACCCATCACCCCCACTTATGCAGGATAAAAAGGGACTGAAGAGAAGGAAAGGTTGTCAGCTTTTGGCGGAACACAGGCTCCGCAGCTGCACCCAGCACTGTTTGCTTGCTATCGCTTGCTGTAATTAATAAAATTATTAATTGATCTTAAAAGGCTGAATCAAATTATTCGCCTCAATTTATAACAGTTATTATTTTGAAATTGATATGCATCACTGCCACCTCCTACGAAGTGATGAAATGGTCCTTCAATTAATCAGCGAGTCGTTTTTGGTGAGAGGTACTTGCGGACACTGCAAGCAGCAGGAGTGAGGGAGAATCTCAGAATGTTCAGCCACAGCATGGCTGAGGTTGGACGGGACCTCTGGAGATCCTGGACAAGCCCTCTGCCAAGGCAGGGTCACCCAGAGCAGGTGACACAGGGATGCATCCAGGTGGCTTTGGGTTCTGCCTCCAGAGAGGGAGAATCAACCTTCCCAGGCAGCCTCCTCCATCACGCTCAGCGCAAAGAACTTCCTCATGTTGAGGTGGAACCTCTTGTGTTCCCATTCACAGCTGTTGCACCCCATCCTGTCACTGGACAGCACCGAAAATGCTCTGGCACCATCCTCTTGGCTCCTGCCCTTGAGACATTTCTATGGATTGATGAGTTCCCCTTTCTTCTCCAGACTAAGCTGTCCCAGCTCCCGCAGTCTCTCCTCATCCAGAGATGCTCCAGACCCTGTGTGCAGGATTTATAGGATTGAAAAAGGGCTCCTGTAGTGTCCTACCTCATGGCCACCTGAGCTGGTCACTGGTCTTCAGCACCAGCTCTTGGCTAAACCCAGACTAAAGGCAGCCTTGGTGTTTTGAAACATAATCTTCCTTTTGTGTCACTGACACACAGAGAGCATGGGGATGACACTGCTGACTGCAGACTCCAGACTCTGACAAAGTGGCTGCAAAACCAAAATCATGCTAGGAATCATGTTAGAAAAGTTACATATTCAGCCAGCACCTGAATTTTCTGTGCCTTTATCATGTCTCCAAGCCACTCTAAAGAACAAGCAAAGAGTCATATCCAAGAGGTCTCAGCAAGGACCTTAATGGGCTGTAGTTTTTTGGAGTACTCTTTACTGCCCTGTAGCGTAGAACTGAAAATTCTGTCTACCCAGAGTCGTAGGGATAATGCAGAAATAAATAATAGACAACAAAGCTTTGGGTTTTATTGTGGCAAAATATTAAGCATAAATACTTAATGTCTACTGATCCCATTAAAGACTAAGAATTTTTATACTTTCATAATCTTTAACAGAGTAGAATAAAATATTTTGTGGAATCCACACAGTGCCTGCCTTTGTTTTAACAGAAAATGGAAAAAGAAAGTACCCTGTGAAATATGAAGTGCTACCTTAGTGCAATGAATTTACAAAAGATCGCTCGAACATAACACCCTTGTTACTAGCCTCATTCTATTTTTATCACATTAATATCGTCATAAAGAAAAAAAACCCACAGCTGCCTAATCAGAATGATAATTCTCCAGTGATTTCAGCAGCTCTCCAGATAAGCATAAGCCAAACATTAAACTCTGAAGCCATATAAATAGTCTGATATTTACTGAGCATTAAGTACCTGACAGTCTTCATTTATTTAGCTATGAATTTATCTGATTTATCTGCTCACATATGCCTGTAAATGGAGTCTAGTTTTAGACACCTATGGAAAATAAGCCAAAGATTACAAGATGAGAATGATACAGAAGAATGTGAGAGCTGAAAAAATACAAGTAAAGGAATGTTTATTCCAGTTAAGTGTGCCACGATGTTTGGGCTAAAACTGGCTGTTTGTCAGGACCTGAAGGGACAGCAGAGCCTGGAGAGAGTCCAGGTGAAATATCTCAGCTTTGTAGGTATTGATCCACCAGCACTGCCAAGATCAGACAATTCTGTTGGGCAGTGACCACCAGTTGATGCTGGGTTTAGAAAACCTCGTGGCATAAACACCAAAACCCACCTATTGCGTGGTGGATTCTTCTAAAATTAGATTGTAGAGCACGTGCTGCCTGAGGTTTTGTTCTACAGCCTTGCCCTGAGCTTCTGATGTTGTTTTGCACAATTCCTTGCATCCCTGTCCTTATAGTGTGATGAGGTTTATGGGATGGGACTCTGGAGAGCCCCTCACCTGCATGCTAGAAGTATATAAGAGGAGGAAGAAAGAAAAGGTGGCATTTGAGGCAGAAGGGTGATCTAATTGCAAGCAGAAGCTGGACTATACAAGAGTTTTGTGTTTGTTCTTTTGTTTGGGTGGTTTTGGGGTAGTTTGGCTTTTTTTTGTACAACAGTTGTAAGAAATATGGTTCTGGAGTCAGCTTGAAGAAGAGATTTTTTCATAGTGAGGGAATATAAAGGAGGGTGTAAAAGAGCTTGGGAGCTGCAGAGAAGATCAGAATAGGAAGAGAATGGTGGAGAAAGTTGTATGAGGAGAAACTGGGCAAGAGGAGTGAAGCAGTTGGGTAAAAAACGAGGAAAGACAGAGGTGTGGAGTGTTCCCATATGGTATATGTATATATATGTATATATATTTGTGGTAGAATAAGCACAGATGGAGTAATTAGCAACATTCTAATGCAAAACCACCCAAATTTATAATTTTTGGTTGAGCTGCAGACATGTTATTAACCAGATGGACAGAATACACTCAGTGACATTGGAGCAACACCAACCACATTGCCTCATGGTAAACTTGATTTTATTTCTTCTTGTTTTTTCTCTTAGTGTTGAAAAGTACTGATACTGGCAGTGATTTTTAAGTCAAAAAAAGTGTTTCCATTGTCTTCAATGAGCCTTTGGTATATGATAAGACTGCATGTTGAAAATGTTTCAAATCTTTTCTTTTACATCACTGTAAAAAAAGAATCCACCAAAATAGTCAACACTGTTTTTCTGTAGCAAATGGAATTGTTGAAATATAATAGACTAATCTCTTGTGTCTTGTGGAGTTGAGAAACCAAAGCAACCCTGAAATTTGTACTCTATCCATCAAATATTGCATTTTGCTCTCAGGAAAAAAATAATCCAGTGGTTTTGTAGGGAAAAATCATGAATATGGATATTTGCCTAGACTTTGTAAAATGAACTGTACATAAAACTACTTAAGACTCTTTATTAGCTAAAATAAAGTGGAGCACTCTGAAAGGATGACTTCCAGGGAAACATGTTAGGTGACCAGGCTGTGCAGCTCCGTGGGGGATGGAGATGATGTTGTTCTGATGTGCTGGCACACAGTAAGGGACTGAGGAATGGAGGTAATAAACCCTGGGCTTAAAAGTTTATACTGGGAGGAGGAAGTGAGACAAGGCAAAGCAAAATCTGATACGCAAAGGGAAAGTCTGGCTTAACTCCTCTGGATGGAATTAATCTTGGAGCACAGATCAAGGTGATTCTTGAGTGCCTTTTTGATCAGCAGTGACAGTGACATCTGCACAGAAGAAGGTAATTTTCAGTGTGACATGTGATTGTGCTGGCAAATCCTGGGTGCTTTTGTTGTTCTTGAATGTGAGACTCCACAAAAATGAGAACAAGAGAACGAGATCCTCCATGAAGAGTTTGGTTTGTATTTTATAATATATTTAAAATATGAAATATTTAAAATGTATTAAAATACATTTTAAATATATTAAATATATATTATACATACAAATGCATTTAAATAGCTATAATATATTTAAAGAATAAAAGTACTATCTATTAAATATATTAAATATATATTTTTGGTTTATTTATTTTAATATTTATAATATTAAATATTTTGTTTATTTTATTTAGTATTTGTTTTCATTTATTTTAATATTTATAATATTAAATATATTAAGTATATTAAATATTTAAACATTTATTTATATATATTTAAATATATTATAAATATATTTTAAATATATTATATTTATATTATATAATAACACTGAGCTAAGTAAATGTATCAGATTTCAACTCATTCAAACCAGAGAAGAAAACTACCTGGAGGTTTCCATTGTTTCAGGTGTTAAATGAAACCTCTAAAGATGTGAGAAGAAGCCAATCTCTCCATAGAGATCTCCCTGTAGAGCAGAGCATGCTGTTTTCTCCTTTGGCCTATTGAAGTCAGAATTGCTGCCTTCCGTGGGATTGATCTTTGATGGCCTTGTAGCTCCTTCTGGAGCTGGGGTTGTGGTAAAGTAACCATCTACATTGACTTCCATGTGCCTGACTGGAGACCAGGCCTTTAAGAGAGAATTTTGCTGTGAGGAAGGCAGAACAGCACGTTGTACACTGTCACAGAATCTTAGAATCATGCAGTTGGACAGACTTTTAAGACTGAGCCCAAGAATAAACCTAACACTGCCAAATCCACCACTAAAGCACATCCCTAAGTGCCACACCTACCTGCCAGTATGTTCTGTATATGGATGTTCAGTGTTCGTGCTGCACTAGGATTTGCATTCTCCATTTCGCCTCATTTTCTGGCAAACAGCCTGAAATGATTAAATACAGAAGTGTCCACACAAGAAGGAACAGATGGCCTCTCTCTGTCCGTGTCATCTTGTGACCCCTAATGACAATGAGGGGGATTTCTTGTGCAAAATCCTGGTTTTGCTGAAATCAGTGGGAGTTTACCACTCACCCCAGTGGGGACAGAATTTCACCTCTTAATGTTTATTAGATGCAGCAGGCAG